CCGGGTCCCGACTTCCACCGGCGACGGGTTCCGTCTCCGGCGCTTGACTGCCGCCGGCGACGGGCTCGGTCTGCGGCGCTTGACTCCCACCGGCCACGGGGTCGGTGGCCGTCTCGCCGGCCAACAGGAGTCCTGGGAAGCGACAGCTGTCCTCGAACCAGCTGTGAGCTTCAGCCTCGGACTCGAGGACAGGTTGAACTCGGAAAAGTGCGCGATCCAGGTTGTATTTCGCAGAGTCGGCGTCGATGTAGGTCTTGATATGGGGGGTGCGACGTGGGAAGTGTATTTGATCGACAGAGCAGAGGACGATCTTAGGATCAGCCATAAGCGCGTCCACACATTGCAGCGCTATGGTCTGGAAGATACGTAGTGACAATGTGTCGCCCTTTCGTAGACTCAGCCGATAAAATTTTGGAGACATCTCCGGCTCGTCCCCTACTCGCGGACGCCTCTCCAGTATTGTACCAGCATCCAATGACCGACATTGACGCGCACCACAATCCAACTGCAAAGCACCACAAAGCAACACCCGCAAACCATACACGCCTCTACTCAATGTCCCCCTCATCTTTTAAAATTCGGAGCAATAATTCTTTTTGGTGTTTGGGAAACATCAATGAACAATGGTGTGGAATTTGGCTATGGTCTGAACTGAGTAGTACGCTGCGATAACCGGGACAAGTAATGTGGACTGAAGCGTCTGGGCTTGCGGGGAAGAACAGGTGTTGCCGACATGTAGGCAGGGCAAAGAAAATGTTTTCGTGCCACTGAGTAAGTGACACAGTGTGTGTTTACACATGAACTCAAGAACATTTGATAAGGCGAGTCCTATCGGAAAAAAGTACTCGAGCACGCACGTAGTCATCGGCCCTAAACCGGGTGGAAGAGACGCGGATCAGGATACAGGCGCCAGTGAGCTTCGGGGTCTGCGTCGGCATCCTTGCGTAGTTGTTTGAAGAATTCTCGAGTCCTTTCGTTAGCAACATTCTCAGAATTGGCTTGGAGACAAGTGGGTGCTAGGACGACACAGAGTTTAGTCTTGATGGATTTGCGGAAAGTGCCTCGTGGACGTGGTCGGGTATTGTCGATGGCAGAATCGAGAATGAGATATACTTGCTCGTAGCATCCGACGTACAATCCCTTACGTCCATCTCTACGTAGCGCGCGGCGTATTTGGCGTTTGAGTGAGTCAAAGATGACGGGAGAAAGACGATAGTTGTCGATGAAATTGGATAGACTGATGAGTCGGTGGTACGCGATCCGCTCACCCATGGCCTTCAGCAGCCACTCATACCCCTCCGCCTCTGTGGTGGTCAACGCCCTAATGTCATCCGTAGCCTCAGCCTCGGCCTCAGCGCTTCTTAGCGCTCTAGCGTGCGCGCTTGTAAGCGCCCTCGATACGGCTTTAGCCTCCGCTCTTGTCAGTGGGTACCGCGGCTCATGTTCACGCCGCGACTCCCACGGCATCCAGCACGCTGCAGCCGGCAACCGCACTGCACTCACTGGGCTATCCGGTCGCGACTGCTGCTTCGCCTCCTCCTTCACCGCATCATTCGCCAGCACCACCTCGCGCTTCCACAACACCAAACACGTCTCCCGATCCCACCCCGCCACCGGCGCCTCCGGCTCCCCGCACCTCTGTCCCGGCCGCACCTCATGACCCACCGCGCCCGTGAAACTGTCCAGCTGTCGCGACCGACAACGCTCACACGCATACGACCGCTGCGGCCAACACGGCTTCACCACCGAAACATGATGCCGCCAGTCCAAGTCCAACATCGGCCTACACACACCACCCCAATAGCCGGAGTCGGGACCCCCTATCCAACCAGGCTCCTCCGCCGCCCACGCCTCCAGCAACGCTTCCTCCAGTGCCTGCCAACTCTCCATCGGCTGCTTCAGCGCCGACGCGTGATCCTGAAGCGTGTATTCCGGCGGCCCCGTCGAACACACACCCACATTCGCCCAGTCCAGCAACGCGAGCTGCGCCTGCCGCACGCGCACTGCGTCCGGCGCCGCCGCCGCCGGAGGCGGCGGCGGACCCGTCGCTGGCGGCGCCGGCGCCTGGTACAGAAAGTGTCTGTCGTCTAGACGCACGCACGGCGAGAAGCTCTCAGCCGAGAACTGGATTTGGTCCTTCGAGAGCAGACGCAGTTGCGAGTTTTCTCGCAGCAGGCGCACACTCTGCAGCGCGACCGCCAGCAGCAGGCGAAGTGACAAGTTCTCGTTGGCGCACATCCTCACTCGCACGCACTTCGGCAGCGCCTTCGGCGTCTCCTCCGACGCCGCGAGCCACCGACGCGGCCACGCGCCCTGCAGCGACATGCAGCGGTGCGGTACCAAGTCGAAGACCGTCGCAAACAGCACTCCAAACTCTGTCCTTTTCGCGGCCGAAATATTCACAATCATCCGAGGATTTATGTCCGAGTAAAATACAGCCGGCCCCTCACAAAGATTATTTGGCAGCCGAGAATTGCGAACTGGGTTGGGGCTAACTTGTCGGCATTTCCGTAAGGAAACTGGGTCGGTAATCCGGACGACACATTCTATGGAACACGCATATGACGGGTGGAGAAATCGTGCCAGCCCGCACACGAAATAAGAGGGACGCACACGAAATAAGAGCAACAACTCCGGCATGTGATGGATGCATTACGTCCTTCTTCCCCGCTAGCAAGCACCTCGTCCGGTCGTGAACTGACCGTCGTGAGCTGACCATCATATACCCCCCCATTCAGAGACATACCCCATTCACACATGAAATTGGTTGTTAGAATGAGGAAAGGGCGGCTCAACATTGGTTACGGAGATCCTCAAAAAACTCGCGTTGTTTTTGTTGTGCTTCTTCGTCGGAGCCGGCAAGGAGACACACGGGTGTCAGCAGCGGGCTAAGTTTGCTCTTGGTGCCCGACGGGAGTGAGTCGAAATCGAGGTTGAAGCCAGGGGGCAGTTTCGGATTGAATTCAAGGGTGAGATAGACTTGATCGATCGAGCCAACGTACCAGCCGGAGGTGACTTGTTCGCTGCCGGCCTTGGAGCAGGATTCTAAGTCTTGTTTAGAGTCGGTCTTACACAAGTCGTCTTCAGTGTCGGGGTTAGCCTCGTGGTTAACCTCGTGGTTAACCTCGTGGTTAGCCTCGTGGTTAGCCTCGTGGTTGCGTCGTTTGGTAGCGATACAGGCGGCGCGCTTGAGGTGTTTTTCGACATCTTTCTGGAGTGTGTCTATGACCTCCCTTGAGGGTCTACAATTCTCGAGGAGGCGACGCAAGCTGATGACCCGGTGTTGGTGAATACGTCCGTCAATGGCGGAGCAGACTTGGAGCTGGGGCGCGGCAACGTTCTTCCATTCGCCTTTTATGAGACCGCCGAAGATGCCAGCGTACTCGGCCCAGGGTTTCCAGGTGGCGGCCCAGGGCAACTGGGCCGTTTTCGCGCCCTGCTCGCGGGCCGCGGCTCGAACAGCGGATGCGGCTGCGTCGGCTTCGGTCTCCCAGTAACCGGTGCAGACGTCAGGCGTCGGCTGCAGGTGGCCGACAAAGGCGGCGAAGGAGACGGGAGGCGGGGCACTGCACTGGTCGCATGGGGTTTTGCCCGGCCTCTTGGGAGGCGGGACGAAAACGATTTGGCCGCCGCGGTAGTCTAGAGGTGGGGAACAGAGTCCGGTCCAGTGGGCGTCAAAGGAATTTTTGCGCCTGACTCGATCGATCATGCTCTCGGCGGCCAACAGGACAGGGTGTTGGGGTTCATGGTACTCAAGGTAAGCTCGGAAAAAATCCACACGGAGTTTATGTAAGCTTTCCGCTGGCTGTTCCAGAAGACGGATACAGCCTGCGGCCTCAGGTACTTCGGAAAGGCCACAAGTGCTTGCAAGGTCGAGCAATGCTCGTTGTGCCAGAGATACCATCTCAGGGGTATTCGGGTTATACTCCCATCGTGTTATCTGCCGTGGTATCTCCAACAGGTATGGCGCATTCTCCAATTTCGCCAAAGCTTCTAAATAAGGACCAGGCGACGCTATCCCCGTCTCCACCTTGCCACTTGACACAAATTGCAACTGCTCCTTCGATACCAACGGCTGGCCTCCTGCCTTCTGCAAAGCCTGAACCGCCACAGTTAGGAACAACCCGTAGGACATCCTACGTGTCTCATCCAACCGTAATTGAAACCAACGAGAGTTAGGCTGTGTGTCATCAGGCACAATATTCTCGCAATGCATCGCCGCGATGCCTCGAGGCTCATCCAACGTAGGACAGTGACTCGAACCGCAGTCATAAAACTTGTTCGCCAAGGCCAAAGCAAGCTGCTCAACACATGTTTCAGACGCTGTACTCCCTCTCATCTTTCCAAAAATTTTGCGCACACTCGCCGCGGACACTTACCAACTAGAGCGGTCCAGTGACTGGACCACGGCATGTCCGGCAGCCACCGCCATCCAGGCTTCATACCACCATCACTGGTCGTCAATGAAGTCGGGGTTTTCATGTGCAGAGTTGGTGTGGTGCAAATTCAAGTGCCAGGAAAAAGGCATCTTGCTTTTCTTGGGCCTCTTTTTCGGAGGTGGCTTTGAGGCAGACTGGTGTGAGTAGTGTGTTAATCTTGGTCTTGGTTCCTGATGGGAGTGGGTTCGAGTCCAGATTGAAGTCAGCGGGTAGTTCTGGGTTGAATTCAAGGGTGAGATAAACTTGATCGATCGAGCCGACGTACCAGCCGTCGCCTTGTTTGGACGTGTGTGAGGTGCCTTGGTTCCGTGCGATTTGAGTAGCGCGTTTACGGTGTGCCTCCATGTCTTTTTCGAGCATTCTGACTACACTTCTTGACAGTCTGCAGTTTGCAAGTAGTCGTCGTAAGCTAATCACTCTTCTCTGGTACACACGCTTATCCACTGCCGAACACACCATCGCCTGCGGCTCGACAACGTTCTTCCACTCGGTTTTGAGAAGGCCGCCAAAGACGCCCGCATACTCAGCCCACGGCTTCCAGGTGGCGGCCCAGGGCAACTGCGCCGTTTCTACGCCCTGCTCCGCGGCCGCCGCCTGGACCGCCGCGGCCGCCGCGGCAGCCTCGGCCTCCCAGCAGCCGGCCGCGGCGATTTCGGTCTCCCAGCAGCCTCGGTCTCCCGCAGGCTGCAGGTGACCCCGAAACGTACCGAACGATGAGGGGGGCGGGGCCCGACACTGATCGCACGCGTCTATTGCGGGAGGGGTGAACACAACACGCCCCCCATGGACATCCAGGAGCGGGCGACAAAGCCCCTCCCAGTACTGCTTGTGATAAGGAGCGTGTTTGGTTGCTTTCAAAAGTATTTGTTCCGCGTCGGCCAGGTTGTCAGGATCATAGCGTTCGAGATAGACCCGGAAGACTCGTCGAAGTAGTTCTTCTGGACCCGCCACGGGTTCTTTGAGTGCACGAATGCAAGGCTGGGCCTCGGGTTGTTCGTAGACACCACAGGCACGCGCGAGGTCAAGCAGCGCACTTTGGGAAAGTGCTGCCTCCGCGGGCGGCAGCTGGATACTCGCAATCAATGTCTCCGAGAGCAGTGGGTTCGCGGTCAGTAAATTCACGGCCAGTGGCTGTAAGTTGTCGGGTGAGTCTATCCATGCGTTTACGATGGCCGTCCGGTCAAAGTAGATTTGCTCCTTAGCTACCAGTGGTTGTAGACGCGCCCTCTCCAACGCCTGCGTGGCGACCGTCAAAAATAAATGGTGTGACCAAGGTTGGTCCAACCGCAACTGGAACGTATTCACTTGTTCATCCCGCGTGTGCTCCGGTGTGCAATACTCCCATGAGAAACCGCATGGTTCATCTAGCGTAGGGCAGGGAGTCAAGCCACAGTCAATAACCCTGTGCGCCAAGAACAGTGCCAGCGATTCTGCCAATGCCTCAGAGGCTGCAGAACCTCTCATCTCCGAAAAATTAAATTCGGGTAAAAGGACTCACCCACGTTGACATAACGGCATCACATACTCGACACAATATTCGCTGCAAACGTTTCCAGGCAGACGTTTGAGTACGATATGTGATCGATGATGACAAGGATACTCCAGTCGCCGCCTCCTGCCTGTATTGGTCCAACGTGGTCCAATGATACAACGGCCATGACCGCGGCCTTTCCCAACGCCCCTGTCAGTAGTGGCACTCTCTGATAATTTTCTTCGATGTCTGGGAGCAGCCGTTCCTCTTGCGCCTTTTGTCGACTCCCAGGTGGCCGTTCGGGCTGGAGTGAAACAGTCGAAAGCTTGCGCGGGACGTAGATCCCGATGGCCCGGTGGGTTAAAGTGACTCCGCGAACTCTTTGACCCTGGAGCGACTTCGTGGGGTTGAACTTCTCGCTAGCGAGCTCGATGGGTAACTCCGTCCGGACGCCTTGGTTTACTCATGGTCTTCGGCGTCTCCCTGTACCTGTTTGAGTACAGCTCCTTTTGGCTGGTGCGTTGGAATTCGGCGGGCGAGTTCTTGATACCGAGTGGGGGGACGTTGAATTCGAAAAGGCCAATCGGAGTTGGTCGGGTTTACCACGGGCACTAGGCCAATGTCGGTGTGCCCAACGGGTTGGGCAGGCCATTTGGCGGCATCACCGCGAAGGTTACCTCCTTCTTGTGCGCGCAGATGCGCGTCTCGGCTGGTGCTGTGAGGGGCAGGTTGCCGGACACTAGTGCCGGTTGACTTCGGCCCCGGTATCTATGAAGAACTACAACGGGATATTGCGTACCTGGGCCTTTACAGAAAAGGGCTCTCATCCACCTTTTCACGCTCGCGATTTTGAGTTCGGCTGCTTCAACCTCGTTCAGCCGCGCCAGGAGGGCTCTCGTCGGCAGTTCGGCTTCCGCGTCGTCGTTGGTCCGCATCTCGGTGACTTCCGCTGACGCTGTCTTCTGACACTCGGCCGTGGGTGCGCTCGGCCCCGGCGTATGTCGTCGCCACCCACTTTGACTTGGAAGCGTCCGTGCGACGTTCCTGTCACAGTGCGGACGGGCTTTCCGTATGCATCCTGGTAGTACGTAGTGCGACACACCCGCACTGCGTACACCTTTCTCCAGTGGCCCAGTTGTCACAGCGTGAGTTTCGTGCCGTACATCCTTCTCCGTCGCGCGGAAGTCCGCGGTTGTGCAGAGCCGCTTCGTCCTTATCTGTCGTCGGCATAGGCGTCGATGTCGTCTTCTGGTTGGCCCTCTCCCGTTGTGACGGCGGCTAGCGTCAGCGTCCGTTGACGTAGATGTGACGGTCGGTTATCTTCTGCAGCACATCGAAGATGATTTCGTCCCAGAGTCCATCTTCACAAACCAAGTTCTGCGCTGCGAAGACGCCAGGTCAATGATGCACCGCTCCAGGAATCTGCGAGGTTTCGTCTCGGTGGCACCCGTTGGTCGTTGGTTGGTTGAGGAGCGCTTGAAGTCTCCCGATTGGACTTTCGCAATTGTCATGTTCCATGTCATGTTCCATGCCATGTTCCTGTTGGCTACGTAGTTGCTGGTTGAAAACATTCTCGTGGCAACGTCCTAGATAAAGTCTTGGACTTGGTTGCGGGAACATCGGTATGTAGTGGAAGCCCACAGCCCGCTCAACCCATCCAGCAGCTGTCTCCAGTGGGTAATGTCGTCAGCTGCATTCTCGACCAAGGGTGGTTACAGCTGACATCTAGCCCGGGCGGCCTTGTGCTCAGAGTTTGGTTGCTTCCCAGCTAACTCAATCGACGATGTCAAAGCTGGCATCGAAGGGTGGGTGGGTGGGGGTACGCTGGATCCAGCGTACCCCTGGATCCAACCCAGAACCGCATGACGCCAGAGTAGGCAGGATCGAGTGTGCCCCCACCCACCCACCCTTCGATGCCAGCTTTGACATCATCGATTGAGTTAGCTGGGAAGCAACCAAACGCAGTCTCAAGGCCGATACTCGGGTTTCCACTTAGCAAATGCTACCGGCGTCCACGCTTTGAGCCGCTTTTGTAGGAGGTGGTGGTGGTGGCGAAGCGATTGCCGCCAAGTGCCAGATGCAGAAGCTCAGTGGCAGGGTCTGCCGGGTAGTGGTCGTCATGAGCCAAGGAGGGTGGGTACAGCTGACCCCACACCACATAGCTGACCCCACACCACATAGCTGACCCCACACCACATAGCTGACCAGGTACAACTTGATGTCAAGCAGGAACCCAGTTTCCAAGTCCTTCTCAAACGATGTTCTGTACGTCAGAATCGACACGATTATTCATCACAGAAACAATGGCTTTGTGCTGCCGTAGAGCTCTAACCCGCGCGGACGACATAAAGTTATCTCCAGGTGACCCAGGGGGACGGTTACGGACCGCAGTCAATTACTTTCTTTCAAGAACAACGCCAAAACAGCGTCTCGCACACAACGAGTTTCGCGCGCACACACACACTTGTGCGGGGAGCACACACTTGTGCGGGGCGCACTCAGCAAACAGACTGCGGAACACTACTTCCAAGAAGTCGTATTTAAGGGAGCATGGTTGAAAATGTGGTGTGGCTAAAAACATAGGCGAGAGGCGCTGCAGTGAGTGGTCGGGGTGTCTTCGGGGGGTAGGTATTCTCGGCAGCAGGCATCGGTGCGGACGCGTTCGAAGAAGGCAGCTTCCCTACTTTCGGCCTCTTCTTCGGAAGAGGCTTTGAGACATTCAGGTGTTAGGAGAAGGCCGAGTTTTGTCTTGACGCCAAGAAGTGGATGGGACCCGGCGCAAATGAGACAGTCTTGTCGGTCGAACTCGAGGGTAACGTAGACCTGGTCGTAGCAACCTACGTACCAACCGGTACCCGGTCGCGTTCCGCGCTTCCGTGCCAAGCATGCGGCGCGTTTGCAATATGTGCGCGCGGCACGCTGCAAACTGTCTACCAACTCACGCGTCAATCGACAACCAGCTACTAACGCGCGTAGACTGATCACGCGTCCATGCCGGATCCGGTCGTCTGCCGCACGACAGACGTACCTCTGTTCCCCCGCCTCTGCCCCGGCCGCGGGGTCGCAGACCCCGGGGTCGCAGACCCCGGGCACGCAGACACCGGGCGCGCAGACCCCGTCTCCGCAGATCTCGGGGGCGAACCCGGCTGCGGAAACTGAGTCAGAGTAGGCACCAAGGTCGCAGTGAGAAACCAGGTCGGAGTGGGAAGTCGAGTCCCCGTGGGAGACGCGGTCCGAAGTGTGGGCGAAGAGGCGATGACGGCGCCAGGGCAACCAGGTGGCGCCCCATGGCAGTTGGGCGGTGCTGACGTGTTGAGAAAGGGCCGCTGCGCGAACGCGGCTGGCGGCTTTCGTGGCTTCCTCGAGCCAGGCGCCGGTGCGCCAGCAGCCGACGGAGTTACAGCGGCTGTGGAGGCATCCGTCGACGGCAGTGAAGTCTGCCCAGGCGTTCGGTGTGCAGTGCGCGCACGCGTGCAATTCCGTGCGAAGTGTGCCGATTTGACGCGAAGGGTAGCGTTCAAGCATCGGGCGACAGAGTCCGAACCAGTACCGTTGGGTCAGGCGTTCGAATCCGACCTCCTGGGCATTCAACGTCTCCTCTGCGTCCTGGCCGAGCGGGACCTGCCACAGAAAGGCGCGCGCCAACTCCGTTGCCAACTGCTGGAATGTCCCCAACGACCGCCGGAGACTCTGTAAAAAGTCCTCCTGCTGATACCCCGGGGGACCGCATCGAGTGGCCTCGCCCGCACGCACTGTACGCGCCAAGTCCAACAACGCAGCCTGCGCCAACGCCACTGCGTGCCGCTCCGACGGGCACCGTCCTACACCGCGGCTTGAGACCGGACTACCCGGCACTCGGCTTGAGACCGGACTACCCGGCACTCGGCTTGAGACCGGACTACCTGGCACTCGGCTTGAGACCGGACTACCGGGCACTCGGCTTGAGACCGGACTACCGGGCACTCGGCTTGAGGCAGGGTCCACGGTCCACCAGTCTTTGGCGATCCAGTCGCCGGGTACGAGAGCGGCGTAGCGTGCTGCGTCATCTAGTCGAACCTGCACACGTGGCGCACACGCGTAGAACTGGATCTGCTCCTTCGCCACCAACAGCGGCAACTTGGTCGGGTCCATCGTCCCCTCTCTCGGCACCGGCGTTGGAGCCCGCGGGTCGCGCCATCGCGGGTGTTCAGCCAGGCGTGATACACATTGCAACGCCACCGTCAGAAACAGACGCAGCGACACTCGACTAGGAGATTCTAATCGAAAACAACATTGCATCGGCGCCGGCACTACCGAGGTCCCTACGACCTCTGACATGAAGTCCTCGACCTCGCCCTCGGAACTGGCCGCCAACCGCCGCCCAAAATTGGGAACCGTGGTCCCATCCAGCGAGTGGCAACGCTCCATCACACAGTCCAACAAAGGCTGTGCTAACAATAACGCCACCCTTCGTGTGCGTTTCGCTGACGCACGACCACTTCGCATATTTATGTAAAACCGGACAAGCGGGGGCCAGCGTAAGGGGCAAGGGAATGGACCAAGGGCTAAGGGTCAGGGGCAGGGGGCAAACGTGGGCCAGGAAGGGGTGGAGGGCAAGGGAAATCAAAAAGAGCGTTCGTTCTATTAGGAGGTTTCTGACAGGGTTTCTCTTTCATCGCTCGCTCTCTTTGTTCACCTCTTCAAATCGTTGTGCTGTATTGCAGCCGGAATATCCCCAACGTCCATGACCCAACACGTCCCGGCTGGCTGATGTGAAGCCGTTAGCCAGGCAATGACACGAACTGTTTTATTGTTGGCGTTGCTACACACAGTCGGACAACACCAGAACCGAGCCCAAGCCGAGTCATGTTCGGGTAGTTAGGGCTGGCGATTGAGGAAGTGGACTTGTTCTCGGAAGGGTATTTGATCGCGACAACCTGCATCATGTCGCACTTTACGGAAGAAAGCGGCTTCCCTGTTTTCGGCTTCCTCTTCGGTAGGGGCTTTGAGACAGTCTGGTGTTAGGAGAAGGCGAAGTTTGGACTTGATTCCGACCGGTCGTGGTCGTCCGCGGAGGCGGTCGATGAGCCGGTGGTTGGGGACGCCGATTTCAAGTGTGACGTAGGCCTGGTCGTAGCAGCCCACGAACCATCCCGTGTTTGGCCGGATGCCATGTTTGCGTGCAATGCGTGCAGCTCTTTTGCAGTAGGTGCGAGCATCACGCTGAAGGCTGTCCACGAGTGGGCGGGTGAGTCGATGGTTGGCGAGGAGATTGCGCAGACTGACCACTGTGTGTAGCCTGATGCGTTCGTCGACGGCGTTGCACACCCGTGTTTCTGCGTCGGGCGTATCTCGCCAGTGGCCGGTGGTTGCATTCCAAGTGGCCGCCCAAGGCAGCTTGGCCAGGCCCACGGCGGCGTGCATGGCTTGCTGTCGTACCCCTGTAGCGGCGAACTCTATTTCCTTTCGCCAGGCGTCGGCAACCCAGGAGCCTGGGGGAGCCCAGCCGCTTGTCAAGCTGCCGGGCATGGCCAGGTTGGGGAGAACACGGGGTTCACAACGTTCGCATCGGTATAAGCCAGGTGAAACTCGTGCCACACCCACCAGCTCGCTAGGCCACGGGTACCGCTCCAACATAGGTCGACAAATACCGCACCAATGTTGGTTGTTGTAACTGCTAATGCAGCAGATCTCTTCATCGAATTTTGGAAAGGAATTGTCATCCGTCCGGTAGTTGGCTGCCGATATTTGTTCCCAAAAACATCGAAGTAGTCCAGCATGCATGTTATCCAACGCTGAAGCATCCTTCAACCACTGAGTAAAGTTCTCTTGCTGGTAGTCGGGAGCAGCCCCAAATCCACCTGTCTGATTCACACCACCCATCTGCGCCAATTCTAGCAACACTGCCTTCGCCGCAATCAACCGCTCCTCTTCTCCCTCTTCCTCCGGCCTCTTCCAATACCCATGGTCATCAGCAATACGCACCCAAACACGAGACATGTTTAAAGGGAATTGGATCTGGTCCACCGAAACCAACCACCGTTCATCATCTTCTAGCAAACGATCTAAACATTGCAAAGCCACTGATAAAAACAGCCGCAATGATACACTCCTCTTCGGACCCAACTCCAGTCGACAATGCCGTGGCATAGGCTGTACCAAGCAACTATCTTCACCGTCTAGCGACCCACCATTCAATGAGGCACCATTCAATGAGGCACCATTCAATGAGGCACCATTCAAGGACACGCAAGGTACCTCCGTACAGTCCAACACCATCATGGCCAACAATGTTGCCGACCTCTGCACTCTTTCCCCGCCCGCGGAGCACCCTCGCATTTCCCCCCTCCCAAAATTGACCTCTCCCCTCATTTCGACGGCTAGCAGCGCACGGTGTGGACTTCTTCTTGGAAAAGTATTTGTTCGTGACAACCTGCATCATATCGCACTTTACGGAAGAAAGCAGCTTCCCTTTTTTCGGCGTCCTCTTCAGTAGGCGCTTTGAGACAGTCAGGTGTTAGGAGAAGGCGAAGTTTGGACTTAATTTTGACCGGTCGTGGTCGCCCTCTGAAACAGTCGGTGAGTCGGTGGTTGGGCACGCCGAGTTCAAGTGTGACGTAGGCCTGGTCGTAGCAGCCTACAAACCATCCTGTGTTTGGTCGGATGCCGCGAGAATGGGCGATGCGTGCCGCTCTTTTGCAGTAAGAGCGAGCATCGCGCTGAAGGCTGTCCACGAGTGGGCGGGTGAGTCGATAGTTGGCGACCAAGTTGCGCAAACTGACGACTGTGTGGAGCCTGATGCGTTCGTCTACGGCGTTACACACACGCGTTTCCACGTTGGGCGCGTCGCGCCAGTATTCCCAGGTTGCATTCCAAGTGGCCGCCCAAGGCAACTTGGCCACACCGACTGCGGCGTCCATCGCTTGCTGTCGTACCCCTGCAGCGGCAAACTCTGTTTCCTTTCGCCAGGCGTCTACGACCCAGGAGCCAGGGGGAGCCCAGCCGCTAGTCAGACTGCCAGGCATGGCTAGAGAGTTTAGAAGGCGCGGGACGCAACGTTCACAGACATAGAGGGCAGGATGCACCCGGGCCACACCAACCTTGGCACCATGACGTTCGAGCATGGGCCGACAGACGCCATGCCAGTGCTGGTAACGGTAGGCGCGGGCGCGGACGTCCGCGTCATTCAGTCTCTGCCACGACGCGTTGTCCGTCCGGTAGTTGGCTGGGGCCAATTGTTCCACAAAGGAGTGCACGAGGGCCAAATACAACTCCGGGAACGTGGTCGCACCAGTCAACCACTCCACGAAATCTTCCTGCTGGTAGTCCGGGGCAGCCCAGAATCCGGCCGTCTGATTCACACCACCCATCTGCGCCAATTCCAACAACGCCGACTGCATCGCTATCAAACGGCACTCTTCCAACACATCCTCATCACCCGCATCTGGCCGCTTCCAATACCTCCGGTCGTCATGTAAACGCACCCACACGCGTGCTGTGTTCTCCCGAAACTGAATCTGGTCTGGCGATACCAACCACATGTGTCGACCCACCACCTGATCCAGACACTGCAATGCTACCGCCAAGAACAGACGTAACGACATCCCCCTCTCCGGACCCAGCTCTAGTCGGTAATGCCACCGCATAGGCGCCACTCCACAACTCTCTTCGCGTGCCATTTCACCATTCACCGAGGCGCCATTCAGAGACGCACCATCCAGAGATGCGCAGCATTCCGGGATGCAATCCAACAACGTCCACGCCAACCACAATCCCAGGCTCTGAACCCCCCGTACGCAACACCCTCGCATTTTATGTTCGCCAAAATAGCCGCGGGGCGGCACCAATTTTGATGTTGGGTTGGTGCAGACGGTTCCTATCCAGTGCATGGGCTTAGCGCACGAACAATGTGTGGAGGCTGATGCGTTCGTCGGTGGCGTTGAAAATACGAGTTTCGGCGTCCGGAGGGTCCAGCTCCTCTCCGTTTGAGGCGAGCTGGCTGTCTAAGACCGTTTTGTGACAGGTTGCCGCCCAGGGCAACTTGCCCACGCCCGCGGCCACATTGTTCGCCTTCTCTAGCACCCCTATAGCCGCGGACTCCGTGTCAGGCGTCCGCCACCCAGGAGACGCAGCCACCAGTCAAACTGCCAGTCATTCCCAGACGGTCTACAAGGCGCAACGTTCACAGACATAGACGTCGCCGACGCCGCCGCAACACGCTCAGCTTCAACAGGCTGCGCTTCAACGAGCTTTGTTTCCACGTGCTCCGCTTCCGGTCGCTCCCAGTACCGACGGTCATCGTACGAACACACGCGCCATATCAAACAAACTGAATTTGATCCCGAGAAA